GTCGCCGCCCGCCGTGGCCTGAAGGTTTCAGTGCTGCAGTCGCGGCGTCGTGACAACAACGAAGAGGCGGCTCCGGCTGCCGCCGAGGCTTGACCTTGGCGGCTCCGGACCCCAGCTGAAAGAGGGTAGGTTCCATGGCGAACACAGAAAAGACTGTTACGGTCGAACAGATCGGCAGCCCGCTGCGCCGTCCGAAGGATCAGCGCGCGACGCTCGTCGGTCTTGGCCTGAACAAGATGCACCGCCGTTCCACGCTGAAGGATACTCCTGAAGTGCGCGGCATGATCAATAAGGTCCAGCATCTCGTTCGCGTCGTCGAAGACAACGCATAAGGACGGGGTGAGGAGAAACAAAATGAAGCTCAACGAACTTCGTGACAACGAAGGTGCCGTATCAGAGCGCACTCGCGTTGGACGCGGCATCGGTTCCGGCAAGGGCAAGACCGGTGGCCGTGGCGTCAAAGGTCAGAAGTCTCGCTCCGGCGTGTCAATCAAAGGCTTTGAAGGCGGTCAGATGCCGCTTCACCGCCGTCTGCCGAAGCGTGGTTTCACGAACATTTTTGCCAAGGACTACAACACTGTGTCCGTTGGCCGTGTTCAAAAGGCTATAGACGCCGGCAAACTGAACGCTTCCGAGACGGTGACCGTCGAAGTGCTCAAGGCTGCAGGCGTAGTCAAACGGGTTCGTGACGGTGTCCGCATCGTTGCCAACGGTGAATTGACAACGGCAGTGACCTTTGAAGTTGCCGGTGCCTCCAAAGGCGCTGTTGCAGCAATTGAAAAAGCGGGCGGCAAGGTTGCCGTTCTGGGAGCTCAGGCTTAACAGCCTGGGCTTTACCCGTTTCTGGGCAAGCATACAACCGGAGTAGGGCATGGCATCGGCCGCCGAGCAACTGGCTTCAAATCTGAATTTCTCAGCTTTTGCGAAGGCTGAAGAACTCAAAAAGCGCATCTGGTTCACGCTAGGGGCGCTTTTGGTTTATCGATTGGGTACTTATATCCCGATGCCCGGAATTAATCCGGAAACGTTCGCACAGGTGTTCGGGCAGGCCCAGACCGGTATTCTCGGCATGGTCAACATGTTCACCGGTGGTGCGATCGAGCGCATGGCGATCTTTGCCCTCGGCATCATGCCGTATATTTCCGCCTCCATTATCATGCAGCTGATGACGACGGTTGTTCCGACGCTTGAGCAGCTGAAAAAGGAAGGTGAGCAAGGCCGAAAGGTCATTAACCAGTACACGCGTTACGGCACAGTCGTATTGGCGACTTTCCAGGCCTACGGGATTGCTGTCGGACTGGAATCCCAGAGCGTCGTGACGGATCCGGGCTGGTTTTTCCGGGCCTCAACCGTGATTACGCTGGTCGGCGGCACCATGTTCCTGATGTGGCTTGGTGAACAGATCACGTCGCGTGGTATCGGCAACGGTATTTCTCTGATTATCTTTGCCGGTATTGTTGCCGGTCTGCCTTCCGCCGTTGTGCAGACGTTGGAACTTGGACGCCAGGGGTCTCTGGCAACCTGGATTATTCTGGCGGTTATAATTCTTGCCGTTGCAGTGATCGGTTTCATTGTTTTCATGGAACGGGCGCAAAGGCGGTTGCTGATTCAGTATCCGAAACGGCAGATGGGCAACCGGATGTTCGAGGGCAATACCTCGTTCCTGCCGCTGAAGCTGAATACGGCCGGTGTGATTCCACCGATCTTCGCGTCGTCGCTGTTGCTCGTTCCGGCTACCTTCGCCGGATTTGGTCAAGGCAGCGGCAACGAATGGCTGACTTACATAACTGCGGCGCTTGGTCACGGACAACCGCTGTTCATGGTCTTCTACGCAGCCATGATCATCTTCTTCTGTTTCTTCTATACGGCGATTGTCTTCAATCCGAGCGATACAGCCGATAACCTCAAGAAACACGGCGGTTTTATCCCGGGCATCCGTCCTGGAGAGCGGACTGCGCAATACATCGACTATGTCCTGACACGCGTCACTGTCGTGGGTGCGATCTACATCACCATCGTTTGTCTATTACCCGAATTCCTCATTTCGGCTACTGGCGTTCCGTTCTATTTCGGGGGAACCTCTTTGCTGATTGTCGTAAGCGTGACAATGGACACCGTGTCGCAGATCCAGGGCCACCTGCTTGCGCATCAGTATGAGGGACTGGTGAAGAAAGCTAAACTCAGGGGGAAACGTCGATGAGGCTAATTCTGGTTGGACCGCCGGGGGCGGGTAAAGGGACACAGGCTGCACGCCTTGTCGAAAGGTACGGCATCCCACAGCTGTCCACCGGAGATATGCTTCGTGCGGCGGTTGCCGCGCAGACCCCTGTCGGCTTGAAAGCCAAGGAAGTCATGGATGCCGGTGGTCTGGTATCGGACGAAATCGTCGTCGGTATCATCCGGGACCGGATTGCTGAAGATGATGCCGAAAACGGCTTTATCCTGGATGGCTTCCCGCGCACTCTTGCACAGGCGGAGGCGTTGGACGAGATGCTTGAAGACAGTGGCCTGAAGCTCAATCGGGTTCTGGAACTGCGTGTTGATCAGACAAAGCTCGTTGACCGGATCATCAAGCGGGCAGAAGATGCCAAGGCTGCCGGTCAGGAAGTCCGCAAGGATGACGACCCTGAAGTATTCAAGCAGCGTCTTGAAGCCTATAACCGCGATACCGCAATCGTCGTGCCTTACTACGAGAAATCAGGCCATCTTTCGGTGATCGACGGCATGCAGGCCATTGATGAAGTATCGGCTTCTATCGAATCCGTTCTTCAAGGGCTTGACGAGAAGGTTTAAGAGCGTTAAGGGACGCGCTCTATCAGACAGTTTGGCCGGTTCCATGTAAGTGGGACCGGCATTCTCTGTGCCGGGAGTTCCCGGCATTTCGCACCCCGCAAGGGCCGGACTCCACCGGACGCGGGCTTTAACAACTGCGGTTTGCCGAAATGGCCGACCGCTCTAAACATGGAGACAAACGTGGCACGTATTGCTGGCGTTAACATTCCGACAAACAAGCGCGTTGTCATTGCGCTTCAATATATTCACGGCATCGGCGCAAAGTTCGCCCAGGAAATCGTCGAAAAGAACAGTATCGATGCATCCCGCCGTGTGAATGAACTTTCCGATGCTGAAGTTCTGTCCATCCGTGAAACCATCGACCGCGACTATATGGTGGAAGGTGATCTTCGCCGTGACACGGCAATGAACATCAAGCGTCTTATGGACCTTGGCTGCTACCGCGGCCTGCGTCATCGCCGCGGACTTCCGGTTCGTGGTCAGCGGACGCATACGAACGCACGTACCCGCAAGGGTCCGGCGAAACCGATTGCTGGCAAGAAGAAATAATCATCAGCGCCGCGATTGGTGGTGGAGCTGCCGGAACTACGGCAGTGAAGAGATCAATACAAGGATACCAGAATGGCTAAAGACACGACGCGTGTGCGTCGCCGCGAACGCAAGAACATCTCTTCCGGCGTTGCGCATGTGAATTCCACGTTCAACAACACCATGATTACGATTACCGATGCACAAGGCAACACGATATCCTGGTCGTCTGCTGGTGCACTTGGCTTCAAAGGCTCTCGTAAGTCGACGCCGTATGCTGCCCAGGTTGCTGCTGAAGATGCCGCAAAGAAAGCTGCTGAGCACGGCATGCGCACACTGGAAGTCGAAGTCCGTGGTCCGGGTTCAGGTCGTGAATCTGCTCTGCGCGCGTTGCAAGCTGCCGGTTTCCTGATTACGTCCATTCGTGACGTGACGCCGATTCCGCATAATGGCTGCCGTCCGCGTAAGCGCCGCCGCGTCTAAGGCTTTCCGGCTTTAGGTACCTGTTTCTCCAAATGGCAAAGTATGGCCCGGCCTTGAAGAGCCGGGCGGGATAGCCGAAGGGACGAAAACGTGACCATTCAGAAAAACTGGCAAGAATTGATCAAGCCTACCAAACTCGAGATCAAGCCGGGTCATGATCCGCGCTTTCTGGCAACCGTCGTTGCCGAGCCTCTTGAGCGCGGTTACGGCCTGACTTTGGGCAACGCGCTGCGCCGCATTCTGCTGTCTTCCCTGCAAGGGGCGGCTGTGACTGCAGTTCAGATCGATGGCGTTCTGCACGAGTTCTCGTCGATCCCCGGTGTTCGCGAGGACGTCACCGATATCGTGCTCAACATCAAGGAAATCGCTATCCGCATGGAAGGTGAAGGTCCAAAGCGCATGGTCGTGCGCAAGCAGGGCCCAGGTGTTGTGACCGCCGGTGACATTCAGACCGTAGGTGATGTGGAAGTGCTCAATCCGGATCTGGTGCTTTGCACACTGGATGAGGGCGCGGAAATTCGCATGGAATTCACCGTCAATACCGGTAAAGGCTATCATTCTTCCGACCGCAACCGCCCGGAAGATGCTCCGATCGGACTTATTCCTGTCGACAGCCTCTACTCTCCTGTCAAGAAGGTCTCCTACAAGGTGGAAAACACCCGTGAAGGCCAGGTTCTTGACTATGACAAGCTGACCCTGACCGTCGAATCCGATGGTTCCGTCAAGCCGGATGATGCAGTGGCATTTGCCGCACGCATTCTGCAGGATCAGCTTTCCATCTTCGTCAACTTCGAAGAGCCGCAACGCGAAGTCGCCGAGGACACTGTCCCGGAACTTGCTTTCAACCCGGCACTTTTGAAGAAAGTCGACGAACTGGAACTGTCTGTCCGGTCTGCAAACTGCCTGAAGAACGACAATATCGTATATATTGGCGATCTCATTCAGAAGACCGAAGCGGAAATGCTGCGGACACCGAATTTCGGCCGCAAGTCGCTCAACGAGATCAAGGAAGTTCTCGCCCAGATGGGTCTCCATCTCGGCATGGAAGTCGCCAACTGGCCGCCGGAGAACATCGACGATCTCGCCAAGCGTTACGAAGACCATCAGTATTAAGGGGCGTACGCGTCCCTAAGGGCTCAACCGGGCAAATGCTACAAGTGAAAGAGCAGATTGCCTGAAAGAAAAAGGAGAGGGCCATGCGCCACGGTAAATCCGGCCGCAAGCTCAACCGGACCTCTAGCCACCGCAAGGCTATGTTCGCAAACATGGCAGCTTCGCTGATCAAGCATGAACAGATCGTGACGACGCTGCCGAAGGCTAAAGAAATGAAGCCGATCATCGACAAGCTCATCACCCTGGGCAAGCGTGGTGATCTGCATGCACGCCGCCAGGCCATTTCGCAGATTCGCGACACGGCCATGGTTGCCAAGCTGTTCGACACGCTCGGCGAACGCTACAAGGACCGCAGCGGCGGCTACTCGCGCGTTCTCAAAGCGGGCTTCCGCTATGGCGACAACGCACCGATGGCGGTCATCGAACTGGTCGATCGTGACCCGGATGCTCGTGGTGCTGACGATCGTGCTCGTGCCGAGGCTGAAGAAACCGCTGAAAACGCAGCGTAAGAATTCAGCGACGTAACAGACTTGAAAGGCGGGCAATTTGTCCGCCTTTTTTGTTGCCGAATTGACAAGTCCAGCGCCGGTTTTACGGTTGAAAAATGAAACCCCAGATTATCATTGCATTAATGAAAACTACCTAGGTTTGCCGCAACACCTCCTTGAGGTTGTGGTAGGGCTGGGAGAAATATCGTGTTTTCAAAATCATCCTCATCGGGGACGAAATCATCTTTTCGTCTTTCCTTTGTCATTCCGGCATTGATGATCGTCATTACGGTTGCAGCATGCGCAGCTGTCGGTGTCATCGGTTACATGACCGGCAAGGACGGCTTGCAGAAGGCAGCCGAGGCGGAACTCGGTATGGTCATTACCGCACGGTCTGCGTTGCTTGAGAGCAAACTGAAATCAGCGGAAGGTGAAGTGGTTACCCTGGCCTCAAGTGTTGCCGATGCTTTGCACACCCTCGGTCAGGCTTCGCTCAATCTTGGGAAGGAACGGGAGGAGATCCTCGGTTATTTTCAAGCTGCTGAGACTGCCAGTGAACGGGCATCGCTTTCAGGGAGTGAGCAAAAGACCATGTATGCATGGCGCCATTCGGAGGCGCATCCGGCAATTTACAATCTCTGGAAGAACAGTGATTACGCCGATATCTACTTGCTCGATCCCGCCGGACTTGTCCTCTATTCGGTGACCAAGGGAGATGAGTTTCTGAGGCAGTTCGGCGAAGGCAGCCCCGCTGAAGGCACCAGTCTGGAACAGGTCTTCAATGCTGCGCTGGAACTGGGTGAAGGAGAAATCGCATCAACATCCTTTGCGTCCTACGAGCCGTCCGGCAGTGAAGGATCGCTGTTTCTGGCATCCCCCGTTTTTTTGAATACGTTCGGCACCGTAAGCCTAAGTGGCGTGGTTGTCGTTCGCCTCAACACTTCCAATTTGAATGCCATTGTCGCAAGCCGGGATGATCTTGGTGAAACCGGGCAGGTCTACATTGTCGGGCAGGACGGAATTGTGCTGTCTGACCTGCCGCTTGCCGCAGAACCGACCGCACTCAAACTCACAACCGAAGCCGCCCCGATACTCGCTGCCACCGGTGGACTGGAATCTGCTGAAATCGTGACAGGAGCGGATGGAGTGGCTGATTTGGTGGTTGCTCGCCCCCTGAGTTTCCAGGGACAGAATTGGGCAATCGTTGCAGAAAAGAGCGTCGGTGAAACACTTGCCGCAGTCACAAACATGCGGAACCAGATGATTATCTGGTCTCTGATAACGATCGCGGTCGCCGCTGTCATTGCACTCTTCTTCTCCCGGTCGATTACCGGACCGCTGTCTGCACTCGTTGGTGCGCTGAACGCCATTGCCTCGGGTAACCTTGGAGCCGAGATTAGAGCGGCTGGCAGAAAGGACGAGATCGGCGATATCGGACGTGCGGTGCTGCAGATCCGCCAAAATGCGACTGAGGAAAACGAGCGAAGAGCAGCGGAAGAGTCAGATGCGGCACGCATCCAGGCGGAACAGCGGCACGACATGCTGGCCAACCTGGCCGGTGAATTCGAGGCGACGGTCGGTACGGTTGTAGACAAGGTCGCCCGCTCGGCTGCGTCTCTCAGGCAATCCGCAGACAAGATGCGCGAGATGACCGATACGGCAGGAGAGACGTCGGCTAATGCAGCGACCATGTCCGAAGAGGCGCTTGCGGAAGTCGAGTCGATTGCTGCAGCATCAGATCAGCTTTCCGGCTCGATACAGGAAATTTCCAGCCTGATCGAGCGGTCTTCGAGTGTGGCCGCCGCGGCGACCAAGCGCGCCGAAACCACCAATGAAACCGTCAAATCGCTCGCCGAGGCTGCGAACCGGATTGGTGAGGTCGTCACGCTTATCAGCGACATTGCAGATCAGACCAATCTTCTTGCGCTCAACGCCACGATAGAGGCAGCGCGAGCGGGCGAAGCCGGCAAGGGGTTTGCGGTCGTGGCTTCGGAGGTCAAGGATCTCGCATCACAGACGGGCAAGGCAACCGGTGAGATCCAGCTGCAGATTGATGCGATCCGGACAGCAACGGACGATGCCGTCGGGGCTATCGGCGACATTCAGAAAACCATCGACGAGATCACCCAATCGGTGAGCGAGGTTGCGGCCGCTGTCACGGAACAAAGCTACGCGACGCAAGGCATTGCCGAAAACACTCAAAGGGCAGCAGGTGGCACGTCCAAGGTGACGGAAGACATCCGCAACGTATCCAGCCTGTCGAACGACACAAACATGGCGGCCCAGAACTTCTCTGAAGAAGCCGCGGACATGGCGACAGAGGCAGAGCAACTGGACCGGGAAGTCCGGAGTTTCCTGGATCAGGTTCGCTCGGCGTAAACCGCCTCCAGCGGACATTGCAAAGTTCGAAAAAGCCGCAAACACCCCGATCAGATGGGCGTGTTCGCGGCTTTTGCGTGTTTGCCGTCACGCACCGAGTTGAGGACGAGTGGTATCTGTGTGGGCAGAGTTTCCGTTTTCCAGTTTCGTTCCAAAATCCGATGCTCTGCAAAAGCAGACACAGCGTTTCAATACACCAGGTGAGAACGTGCTGTTGAGCGCATTTTCAGTTGCGGTGTGTAATATTCATGCGTAGCATTCTCATAGAAAGTATTCTGGATAAGTGTTGGAAATACCGAATTTCATCACGCCTTTGAGCTTAAGTAAAAACTGTCATGTTTTCGGAATTTTAGTTCATTTTCATTGGTTAATGTATGTGATTTAATTCGGTAATTCAGTATTTCGAAATACATCTAGTGATAAATGGAATAATAGATTTTTGATAAAAGATTTATTTGTATTGTGTTTGGACAATTTTGTGAGGGGCGAAAGTTATGGCTTGGACCGTACAGCAAAAGATTGATGCGCAGCTCAAACTGCACAAGAGCAATCTAAAAATGTTCGAAGATGACCTGAGGGATTTCAACAATGTCATGACGGCGTCTGCGATCTGCCAGGAAATTGGTGTTCAAGCAGCTTTCGCGGCCGCTACCATGGGGGCGGCTACTTGGCTGAGCGGAACGAGGGCAGCTTCCGCAGTAGGAGGCAGGCTTGTTCTACTCGGGGGCGAAGGAAGTCGCATAAGCGGGTTCATGCATGGCGTTGCCAAGGTTGCGGGATTTTCCTCCATGGGTGCCGAGGGGTGGACTGCAGGCAAGGCGATGGGCGGTTTTCTGGCTCGCCTGTCGGCTGGTTTGGGAGTGTTGTTGATACGCCGCATGTCAGGCGACCTTGGTATGAAAAAACCCATGAATTTCGAAGGAATGGGATCAGCAGTTTTTTTTACAGTCCTTTTCTCGTTCATAGGCAGTCCTGGTCCCAAAAAACCACCTGGCGTCAATGATGCGAGCAAATGGCTAATGGAAAAGGTAGCTCATTTTGACAAATCTCCAGTACTAAAAATGCTTGCGAAAACGCCAGATCTGGCAAGTGTTGCGTCGCAAGGCGGGAAGGTATCTGCGCAAACGGGAACCCAGATATTTGGTTTATGCCAGAAGGGATACAACGAATTATCCAAGGATCCAATTGGCAAGGATATACTCGAATATTTGAGAAACAACAAAAATGAATACGATGAACGGGTTGACGACATCTTCAAAGAGCAAAGCGAAGCACTCGTAACTTGGGGTCTCGGTGCACAACATCATATCGCGAAGAACATTGAATTGAAGGCGGGTCAGATTGACTATGCTGCAAAGCTGCCGTTTTTTGCACGACACTTCGATTTTGTCGGTAACGCTGAAGCATTGAAAATCATGTCAACCAACGCTGCCAAATCGCAAGCTTTCGTGAGTCTTTGGGAGGCCATCCGCGATACTTTAAAAGACGACGCAGCACCTTCTTTTGAAAAAGCGAAGGAAATGGTTCGCTAGTTGGTGCCATGCGAGTTGAAACAGGCGTGAAGTTTTCCTTCTATACCGTATCGAACGACTGCTTTTATTGAGTTTTGCGCAACAGATCGAATTTGTGATTGAGCTCTTTGTTGGGAAAATTTCAGACCTCTGTTGGTTTGTTCTAGCGCAATTTGCAGCAGTGTGTCCCTTTTGGGTGATTGCTGTTTGACCTCTTTTCGGTTGGTCACATTGCAGAATTCTAACGCTTTTTTGCTCACAGGTGCGACTTGCAAATCTTTACGAATACCGGCTGATGATCGGCTCGAATTTATCCGTTAGGGCAGGGGAATTGACAGCTGAAGAGGGTGCAAGTCGGAGACAATCGGAAAGACACGCATACGCTTGTGATCGCGTGGTTTCGCGTTGTCTATACTGCTGGCCGGATACGCGTTTTGGTAATCCTCAAGGTCCCACTGATGGGACTGGGTTTTTCGATTTGTTCGTCATAAGCACCCTTGCCGGACCTGCAAGAATACGGACGCCCTGTGAAGAAGACCGCAGCAGAACCGCTGGAATGACACACAGAAACAGCATTTTATCTGGCTTTGGACTTCAAAGTTTTCGTGTGCGAATGCGTTTGGCCGATTATGCCGTCATTTGATGCAGCAAGTGGTTTGAGATAGGAAATTGTGAAATCTGGCCGTCATTTTGGCGATGTGTTGCTTTTGCAATTGCCTCCATTCCACCCTATCTGCCATGTATCGCCGATACTGAAAAAGAATCGAAAGAGAGGGCTCTGGCAATGCGCCTGGCAAATTCAAACCGATTTCGCCCTTTGTGCCGCATTCTGCTGGCGACGCTGACCGGTCTCCTGGCAACTGCAACGTTCGCGCAAACGGTTGAGCCGACATCGGCGGACCTCAGGCTGATCCCGCAAAACGAGGCGCAGATCAAGCTTTCGTTCGCGCCCGTGGTGAAGCAGGTCGCGCCAGCGGTGGTGAACGTTTACGCCAGTCGCAAGGTCGTGCAGCGTCAGCGTGTTTCACCCTTCTTCGAAGATCCGTTTTTCCGCCGGTTTTTCGGGCAACCCGGTGGCTCTGGCCGTCCGCGCGAACGGGTGGAATCATCGCTGGGGTCTGGCGTTATCATTTCTGCGGACGGAACGGTGATTACCAACCATCACGTCATCAAGGGAGCTGATGCCGTCAGGGTTGCACTTAGCGACCGCAGGGAATTCGATGCGGACATCGTTCTGATGGATGAACGAACGGATCTGGCAGTGCTGAAGATCCGGGGAGAAGGCCCGTATGAACACGTGAGTTTTGCCAATTCAGACAGTCTGGAGGTCGGTGATATCGTCCTTGCGATCGGCAATCCGTTCGGCGTCGGGCAGACCGTCACCCAGGGAATTGTCTCCGCGCTCGCGCGCACGCAGGTCGGTGTCACGGATTTCCAGTTTTTCATCCAGACCGACGCAGCGATCAACCCGGGCAATTCCGGCGGCGCACTGGTTGACATGACCGGAAAGCTCGTCGGTATCAATACCGCGATCTTCTCACGCTCCGGCGGGTCGAACGGCATCGGCTTCGCCATTCCGGCTCATATGGCCCGTTTCGTCGCCCAGGCAGCCGATCAGGGTGGCAAGGTTCGACGGCCCTGGCTGGGTGCCACTGTTCAGATGGTCAACGCTGAAATTGCCGAGGCGCTGTCGCTTGAGCGTCCACGCGGCGTCCTGGTGACTGCTGTCTTTGACGAATCTCCTGCCCACGATGCAGGCCTCAAGGTCAGCGATCTTGTCATCGCCATCGAGGGCAAGGAGGTGATTGACCCGAATTCCTTCGGATACCGTTTTGCGACCAAGATGATTGGCGAGACGTCCGAATTCCTGGTCGTGCGGGGAGGGCAGGAAATCGCCATTCCGGTGTCCTTGCAACCTGCTCCGGAAACCGTTCCTCGGGACGCACGGGTGCTGCGTGAATATTCGCCGTTCGAAGGCGCGACCGTTATGAATCTGTCTCCGGCGGTTTCGGAGGAACTGGGTCTGGAAGGCCTGTTTGAGGGTGTCGTCATCGCATCTGTCAATCGTGGCAGTGCCGCCAATCAGGTGGGCATGCGTCCCGGCGATATCATTCGTGTCGTCAACAATCAGAAAGTGGAATCGACGCGCATGCTTGAAACGATCACCAAGACACCTCCGCGTGTATGGCGTCTGGAGGTCGAGCGTGATGGCAAGATTTCGAAACTCGAACTCAGATAGAGCGTGATGTGAGCGATCTGTTCGAAGCTTCCGGGCTTGCGAAAGCCGGACCGCGCCCACTGGCTGACCGGTTGCGTCCCGCTGTGCTTGATGATGTCGTCGGTCAGGAACATCTGCTCGGGCCCGAAGGCACGCTGTCACGCATGCTGAAAACGAGATCGCTCGGTTCCCTGATCTTCTGGGGTCCTCCGGGCACTGGAAAGACGACGATTGCGCGCCTGCTTGCAAATGAAACAGATCTTGCGTTCGAACAGATTTCGGCGATTTTTTCCGGTGTCGCAGATCTGAAGAAAGTGTTCGAGGCCGCCAAGGCAAGACGCATGGGCGGTCGGGCCACGCTTCTGTTCGTCGATGAGATCCATCGTTTCAATCGTGCGCAGCAGGACAGCTTTCTGCCGGTCATGGAAGACGGCACGATCACGCTTGTCGGGGCAACAACGGAGAACCCGTCTTTTGAACTCAACGCGGCGCTGCTCTCCCGCTCGCATGTGATGACTTTTCACTCGCTTTCCCTGGAGGCGATCGGGCAATTGCTCAACCGTGCGGAAGACGCGGAGGAAAAGGACCTGCCGCTGGAGCCCGATGCGCGCCAGGTGCTGATGCGGATGGCAGATGGTGATGGCCGTTCCGCCTTGACGCTTGCCGAAGACGTCTGGCGCGCTGCGGCAGAAGACGAAATATTCGATGCCGACCGGTTGCAGGAGATCGTGCAGCGTCGGGCTCCCATCTATGACAAGAGCGCGGACGGTCATTACAATCTGATCTCAGCGCTGCACAAATCCGTACGCGGATCCGATCCCGATGCTGCGCTCTACTGGTTCTGCCGCATGCTGGATGGCGGCGAGGACCCGATGTATCTCGCGCGCCGGCTTATCCGAATGGCCGTAGAAGACATCGGACTTGCAGATCCAAACGCCCTGGTTCAGACCAATGCGGCAAGGGACGCCTATCAGATGCTCGGATCGCCCGAAGGTGAACTGGCACTTGCCCAGTCGGTGATCTATCTCGCGACCGCACCAAAGTCGAACGGTGCTTACGTAGCCTACAAGGCTGCGATGCGGGACGCCAAATCAAGTGGCTCGCTTTTGCCGCCGAAACACATCCTGAATGCGCCCACCAAGCTGATGAAGCAGGAAGGATACGGCGCAGGATATCAATACGATCACGACGCACCGGACGGATTTTCCGGGCAAGACTATTTCCCCGAAAAACTTGGACGGCAATCCTACTACGATCCTCCGGAGCGGGGCTTTGAAAGGGATCTTCGCAAGAGGCTGGACTACTGGAGCCGATTGCGCAAGGAACGAGGCTGACTGGTCAATTCCTTGCACCTGCAATCTAATATGGTGACAGGACCATCAGCCTGTCCGCTCTGGTGGCGCTCCAAAAAATCCGACGATTTCACGAAGCCGCCCGTCGTCTGAAAGCGTGCCGAAATCGACACCGTCGATCGCCGTGTTTCCATCGGCAGTCACCAGACGCCACTTGAAATAAATACGCGCGTTGTGTTGGCTTGCGTCACTGGTGAGTTCTATGCGTGCTCCGGGCATTCGCGCCTGAAACTCGCCAATATAGTTCGCCAGTTGATCTCGACCTTGCGCAGTTCCGGCAGGATCCATGTATCGGCCGCCGTCGCTCCAGGAGGATTCAAGAAATCCGATGCGCTTCGAAAGATCGGTTTCGTTCCAGGCCGCACCATATGATGCAAGCACTTGTTTGAGTTCCACGGCCAACGCCCTCCAAATCCAGCAGACCCGATCCTGGCATCTCATCGTTGACGGGCCAGGCAACCCACCGGATTCTGATCCTACGCGAATGATACAAAGATCGCTCCTGCTTTCTCCCTGACGTGATCAATGCAAGCTTGGTACCGGGCAAACAGCATCTGGTGCAAGCATGTGTCCCGGAATGCCGCGGCAGAGTACGTGCGACGCTGAACAAAGGGTCCGATTTTGATTGCCTTGCGACCTGTTTGAACAAATCCGCTACACTTTTTTCACGCGCAAGTGTGATCAGGTATGATGGCTGCATAATCTCGCTTGTCTTTGTTCAATTCATTTCGTCGCCACTTAAGGAATATGGCAATCCTTTTCTGGTAGATCCTTGATAACAATCCGGTTGGCAGTTTCATGAAGGAAATCGAACTCAGACTTGCACTCGTGCTTTATGGCGGCGTTTCGCTGGCCATTTACATGCATGGTGTAAGCCGGGAGATTCTGAATCTTGTTCGCGCCTCCAGTTTCAGGTTGGACAGAAACGGCGGCAATTCCAACGATTGCGAGACACATCCACTGCAGCCGGTGCAGTGTGCCTATCAGGACCTGCTCGACCTCCTGTCCGGTGTTGCCGACATACGCGTCGTTGTCGATGCCATTGCAGGCGCCTCGGCCGGTGGTGTCAACGGCATCATGCTGGCCAGGGCGATCGCCCATGACCTGCCGCTCGAAAGCCATAGCGAGATGTGGCTTGAAAATGCGGATGTTACCCGGCTTTCACGCCCCCAATCGGGTTTGTCCCGATACCTGAAACTCTCCATCTCACCTGTTCTCGACCAGTTGATATCAACGCGGCTGAACAAGCAGATCGAAAGTGTTGAGACCCGGGAAAAGCTGCGCCAGTTCATGCAGGCAAGGTGGTTCTCACCGCCATTTTCCGGAGAGCGTTTCATTAGCTGGATGCTTGATGCCTGCCGCAAGATGGAAAATGGCGACGACAGTGAAAGGACGCTTATTCCGCGTGGGCAGACCCTGAATCTCTTCGTCACGATTACCGATTACAACGGTGTCAAACGACGGATTTTGCTGGACGACCCTGCATATGTGGAGGAATGGGATCATCGACGGATCCTGAATTTCCGCGCTGTACACCGCACACCTGGATATGTCGACAGCCAGTTTGACTCGGACAACATACCGGAACTCGTTTTTACGGCCCGCGCCACATCGTCCTTCCCGGGGGCATTTCCGCCCGCAACCGTGGCCGAGATGGAGCGAGTCTTGTCGAGGAAAGGGGTTGCCTGGCCCTACCGCGACGACTTTCTCGGGCGTGAACTTTGCCTGACACCCGAGACGATGGCACAACACTGTTTCGTCGACGGCAGTGTCGTGATGAACAAGCCGTTTGCACCGGTTATTGAAATCATCGAGGAAAGACCTGCTGCACGCGAGGTTGCAAGACGGCTGATCTATGTCGACCCGGCACCGGTTGACGTAAGCGCAACCAGGGAAGGCCCGCTGGAGCTTCCCGGTTTTTTCCGGGTGATCCTCGCATCCCTGGCGCATATCCCTCGAAACGAGCCGATCGGAGACGACCTGAAAGAACTGGAGCAGAACAATCGGCGAAGCCGTTGGCTCTCCCAGCTGATCGACGCGACGGGACCGGTCGTTGAACAGGCCGTTTCGAGCCTGCTGCCGACACGGCGGGCGATCACGGCAGAAGTGTTGTCCAGATGCAGGCGGGATGCGACGACCACAGCCTTCGAACAGGCAGGGTTTGCCTTCCTGAACTACCAGTCCCTGAAACTGCACGCGCTTGCAGAGCGGCTCGCCGGCCTGACCGGACGCATAAGCAGGTCCCCTGATGTCCAGATGCGGGAGGAAGCCGCGCTTTCCCTGTTTTCAAGGCATTTCAACAAGCTTGCCGCGGACAGCGAGGACGGGCTCGGACGCACGGACCCGCACATCGTCGCGCTCCTGAGGGGCCTTGACGTCGACTATCGGATCCGCCGGCTACGGTTCGCGATCCGCAAGCTGAACGGCTTTTATCATGCGGACAAGGACAGCAAGTTACCGCCACCTGATGCCAATGCGCTCGACTACCTGAAAGGTATTTTATACGAGCAGATTGACCATCTTGGCTGGCGCTGGACGGACAGGTTCTTCGGCGGCAAGAGCCAGGAATTGTCGGAAGCATTCCTGACAACGGCGGCCGGCAGCCAATACGGCGCTGAAGATCATGTCGAGCCGTTGCTGGACAGTCTAACCAAGATGATGGGCCTGGCCGATCTCGACCGACTGCACGACGAACTCTTCGCCGAAACGGCGCGAGACCTTCTCGACCGGGACCGGCACATGTCGTTGCTGCGATCCTATATCGGTTTCGGCTTCTATGACCTGATCACATTCCCCGTCCTGCAGCGAAACGACTTTTCAGAGGTGACCGAAATCCTGGTCGACCGGATCAGTCCGAGAGACGCCGACAGTCTTTACACCGAAGGTTTTGAACTGAAGGGCAAGTCTTTGAACGCTTTCGGCGCATTCTTCAATCGAAGCTGGAGAGAGCACGACTACCTTTGGGGACGGCTCAATGCCGCCGACAGGCTTGTCAGCATCGTCCTGTCGGCCGCCGGCGAGGGCGTTCTGCCGCAACCACAGGTCAACCAGGCACGGGCCCGGATCTTCCTTGCGATCCTTCAGGAGGAGCGTGAAAAACTGTTGACGATCCCTGAAGAAATCGACCGGGTCGACGACCTGATACGCTCGATTTATCCGGATTTCGCGCATGTGGAAGAGGAGGCGTGAAACTGGTTTGCCGGGTGTTTATTGTCAAAGCGTCGACGGAGCCAATGACTACAAGACAGGCAATCAGCCCGAATTCCTGTTTCGGCAGCAAAACTCCTAATCTGTCTCATGAGCAAATCAGTTAGCATTCCATATCTCCCAGTTGCCATACGTGGCAGTGCCAGTGGACTATTCAATCACCTTGGCCATTTCAGAGGTCGGCTGCCATCCCGCCGCCTCGTAAACAGGTCGACCGGCCGATGTGCTATGCAAGATCGCATATTTTAGTTTCCGCTGGCTGAATTCCTGATCCGCCAGATCTAAAAGCAGTTTTGCAATGCCCCGCTTTCGGTGGCTGCGCTCGACGAACATATTCAAGACATACCCCCGCCGACCATCATCCTGATGCAGCGGATGAGGTGGCCACGACAGCTCCATCAATCCAATGCCCGCGATCGGCTTGCCGTCGTCCTCTACAATGAAACCAAAATATGTTCCGTCAACCAGACGCGGCTTCAGCCAAGCCCGGAACGAGCGATCCATGGTTTCAAGCTCCGGCGCTTTTCGTCTGCCATCATCACAGAACATCGAGATGCGGTGGCGACAGACAAGGTCCAGATCATTCGAGTTTATTGGACGGGTTTCAATCATCTGAGGTACAGCTCGGCAAATGGGTCCAAACGAATTTCGCGGTGCCGAGTGTATTTGGAGCATCGCACTGCTTTCAATGCAGTTTCGGGTTCATGCATAGATTCAATTGTTCAAATGCCCAGTTCTTCCCTGGCGATAGTCTGGAAAATGTCATGATCGGCATGATCTCCATCACCCTGCTTGCGCCTGTCACGGCTTTTGACAATTCTTCTTCAGGCCGCAGGTACCGTGCCACGCCAAAGGCGTGGTCAAAATCAAACGATGGTTCACAAGGAACGCGGTGAAGGAAGCAAGCATGGTACTGGCTCGGGAATTTGTTTTTCCGCCATGAGTTGCGGGCACCGACGTGCTCAATCGGTATGTTGGTTGCCTTGCCGTTCTCCGTCCGTTTTTTGGATGGCACATCATGGCCGTCAAGTTGAGGCACGGGCCTCGAATGCCGGTACTTTTCAACGTTGTGGGACCGGGCTTCGCTGTTTTGTGCATGCCTGCTGTCAGCCGCTAAATGGTTGTGTTCGATGCGCGCGACTCAGAGAGCGTGGACGGTCTCTGCCAGGATCTGGTTGAAAATTTTGCTTGCGAACATGGAGCGGCGATAACTGAAAATAGCGAGAGATCAACCATCACGAATTAGCCAAAGCCACGCGTTTTCAGGAAAACCAAGAATAATCTTCGTTCGGGGTGACGAATGGCACCTAAGGGCACCGGGTCAGGGTGCATTAACCCGTACGGTCAAGTTCCAAAGACGGCGAAAACAGAGTTGGTGTGTCTCGCAATGTTGAAGAGGCTAGGGCGATCGTGCGCAATTTACAAAAGTCGGTGCCGGAATGGTGCAACGATGATTGAATTATGGTAAAGATTTATGCCTTGAAAGATTTTCCGTTCCAATATTTTTACAATTTAGAGGAAGTGTCCGGTGAAAATTGCTTTTTCGATAGTTAATATTTTAGGTCTGTTAGCTCTGGGGGGATGTGTAACAAACACCACTGTGGATCGTGTGGCTTACGATCATCCAACAGCAAGTCAACAACAGCTTTTTACTGATCGCGCTGATTGTGCCGCCCAGGCAAAGGGAATTCGGCAAACGGAGTATGGCAGCGAAACAGGTGTCAACGATGACATTTGGGACAATTGTATCGCTGGCAAAGGCTACAGCCGTAACGATGCGACTGGCAGGCTGGAAGTGCCGAAAGATCTTAGGGTGACAACTTACTAAAGGTTCCGCATACACATGTAACGGTCCGAAGAATGGCGTGGGGTGCACGAAATGTGCACCCGAGCACCGCATGGGCAAGAATAGGCTCACTGGAACGCAAGTGCTCAAAGAGCCGGTTAGGAAATTTCGCTGCAACTCATAAGGAGCGGGCGTCTGTCTGGCTTTCTTGAATTTTTAGGATTGTTGACAGGCCCAGAAGATCTGCCGGCATCTGTCGGCCGATTTCTTTTCGGTTTGGTAGGCGCCGCATTGGGCGCAAAGTTTGCCTCTTACATAAATATTGAACCATGGGTCGATTACGCACTCATGGTTTTTGCGGCAATTGTCTTTTATGTCGTCTTTGCAGTTATCTGGCGCAGGGTATTTGAAGCCAGGAAGAGCTGACAAGGGAGCTTTGAATTGTGGCGTTTCGCAGGAGCATCAAACGGATTTTGAGGTTTCCTTTTGAGCATCTCAACCTGTCAGGCAGTAGGAATTTTTTCTTTTTCTTGCTCCCGATCATGACTTCTGTGACCGTCATATTCATCGTGTTGCCTGGACCATTCAATGTTGTCTTCGGGGTGCTCGTCTTTATGCCGCTCCTCGCACTCTGGTTTATCAACGAGACCCTGGAGAGGTTGCCGAAATTTGGAAGATTGTTCAAACTCGGCGGACCGATCTGATGTCCGCGGACAGGTCGATTTTGTCTACATTGCGACGATGCATGCCGAACTTCGACAGGCACGGTTTCAGATAAACAAGATTGATATGTCACTGCAGGGGGCATGGACGGATCCTGTCCTCCAATTGGCCAAAGCGATGTGTTGGGTCATCGCTGACATGAATTGTCAGCCTTCGAGTTCTTATCCGTTCCAGGGCCTAATCCCGCTCAATCGGTAAATTCGGATGTCAGAAATTGCCAGGATGCGGCCTAGTTGATCTTAAAGTCGACAATATCCCTGCCGCGAATTTTGCAAACGGCACTTCTGCTGGAATACGATGTCTTCGGATTATCAAGTTCAAAACTCACCTTCACCGTTTTTTCGTATCCGCCATTGACGTTGAAAGGTGAACTCTGGTTCCTGATAACGGGAAATGGCATCTGGCTTTTGGCGTAGTCGACGCAGATCCTGTTGGCCATTTCGTCACTGATCGTATCGCGTTTTTCTCTCTCCTTTTGCTGTTCTTTTTCGTAGTTGGCGGCTGCTTCCCGGGCAATTTTTGCAGTTGCCAGGCACTGCGAAAATTCCAATGTTCCCGGGACGAATCCAGATTCGATACAAAGCAACTCATCCTTGCTGGGCTGTGATCCCGAAGGAGACCCGTCCGCAACGCAACCGGTCAAAACCAGGCCGGACAGCAGACCTATGGCGCTTCTCATTTTTACCTCGCAGATGTTGTTGAGAACTCGGAAAGGTCCGAGAGCTTGAACAATAATCCATGTCAAACACTTCAACCTATTGGCGAAATCAATGGAGACTCGATGGGTATTTTTGTCAATGGTGTTCCGGTGCATTCCAAAGCCAAGATTTTGAGGAAGCTTCTCGATCGGAAGTGACTGGAAGGCATTTCCTCACTTCCGCTTGCCTGCCGGTGTCCTACAAGTTACGAACTTCGTGCTGACTGCTGCGCAAATCGGAAACTGTCGTTTGAAAAAGATTGAAATCACTTGAAACATCTTCTTCTTGTCATGCTCGGCGGAGGGCTCGGAGCCGGCGCGCGCCATCTGGTTGGCCTTTTCACGCTGAGAGTTTTTGGTGCCGGCTTTCCGGTCGGGACGCTCACCGTCAATGTGGTCGGTTCGCTTGCAATGGGGCTTTTGATCGGATGGCTGGTTAAGTCCGATTTTCAGCATGTTCAGACGGTCCGGTACTTCATTGCCACCGGCATACTCGGCGGGTTCACGACATTTTCCGCCTTTTCGCTGGACACGTCGGTGCTGTGGGAGCGGGGAGATACCTATCTTGCGATGTTCTATGTACTGGCGTCCGTCCTTCTGTCGATTGGCGCGGTCTTCGCAGGATTGATGATAACCCGCCAGGTCGTCTCCTAAGTTTCCCTTTCATTTCACCCTGATTACGCCTATACGCTCCGGAACGAATGTCCGCGCGGTGCTCGTGTCCCGTGCCCTGGTTGACAGTGGCCTTTTGCGGCCCGCAGCCTGATTTGAGAACAATATGTCCGCAGTAGAACAAAAACATGTGACCGCCGATGAAGCGGGCATGCGCCTCGACCGTTGGTTCAAGGCACATTATCCCGGTCTCGGGTTCGGACGGCTGCAGAAGCTCCTGCGCACCGGCCAGGTGCGGGTTGATGGCAAGCGCGTTGAGGCCAGCACACGGGTCGCCAAGGGCCAGATGATCCGAATTCCACCATTGGGTGTCGAGCTTCCCGCGGACGACAAGAAGAATGCCAAACCCAAGTCCACCAAACTGATTGCCGACGACCGCAAGGCCATCGAGGAGATGCTGCTGTTCGAGGACAATCAGGTCATGGTCCTTAACAAGCCTGCCGGTCTCGCTGTCCAGGGCGGGTCCGGTCTCAAGCGCCACCTGGATGGCATGCTGGAAGCCTTTACGGACAGGAAGGGCAACAAGCCGCGCCTGGTTCACCGTCTCGACCGCGAGACATCAGGCATCATCCTTGTTGCGCGCACGCGTCAGGCAGCGCAGGAACTTACAAAGTCCTTCCGGCATCGCAATACGCGCAAGATCTACTGGACGATGCTCGCAGGCGTGCCCAAGCCGAAACAGGGCCGCATCTCGACGTTTCTTGCCCGCAGCGAGGCTGAAGAACGGATGCAGGTCGTGAGGCAGGGGGAAGATGATGCCCAGCATGCTGTGTCCTTGTATTCCGTATTCGAGCAGTCCGCGCAAAAACTGTCATGGGTCACCATGAAGCCCGTTACCGGCCGGACGCACCAACTGAGGGCGCATGCTGCCCACATCGGTCATCCGATCATCGGCGATGACAAGTATTTCAATATCGAGAACTGGGAATTGCCGGGCGGCATTCAAAACCGCCTGCACCTGCTTGCGCGCCGTATCGTCATTCCACACCCGTCGGGTCATGGCAAGATCGACGTGTCGGCGCCGTTGCCGCCGCACATGCAGCAGACCTGGAACCTTCTCGGCTTCAATGCGAGCGACTACGATCCTGAGGCCGACGATCCCGACGAGACGGTCATCAAACGCTGACCGGTCTCCTCCGTTTAAAGTTCGGATCCATGGACAACGATGTTGAACCCCTCAACGTCTGACGGCCGCTGAAAGTGGCTCGTAATCCGGTCAAACTGGTCGTCGGAAACCTGAAACTCGTGCGTTCCAGAGGCGTTGCGCGCCCGAAGCCTCTGCTTGCAAATGTCGTCCGCAACATCGATCAGGTGCAATTGATGGGAGCAACCTGCCGTTTCAAACAGACGCCGCATCCAGCGACGGTATTCAACCGTGTTTGCAGGAAAATCGAGTACCACGGAAAGACCGGCGCGCAAGAGCTCCACGATATGCGGCTCCAGCGTGTTTCTCAGCGTTTCAGAGTATCTGACATAGTCGGACAACGTCTTGAGTTGATCGGCGTAAAGGCCTGATAACCAGACATCCTCCTGCAGCAGGATCGTGTCGGGATTTTCTGCCAGCGATCGCGCCAGCGTCGATTTTCCCGAGGCAACTTTTCCGCAAATCAGATGCAGGGTCGTCTCGTTGCGCATTGGCTGGTCTCAACTGCTACAGGTGAGAAAGGCTATTCGAACCTCAATACCGGATCAAAGCCCCTGGAAGAGTGCACTCACAATCACGGACAGGATTGTGACGGCAGCAACGCCGGCAACAAGCTTCCAGGCGTCGGAGCGTTTTTGAAGGCCAGGCCAGCCCAGGGGTTTGATGACCTGAATCGCGGCAATCAGGATCAGCAGAACGGCCAGTATCTTGGTCAAGGAAAGGCTCCGGACAGGACGATGGAATACCCGCTCTAAACAATCTGCCGACGGACCGCAAGCCGTCTATGCGCCGGCGCCCTTGTTGAGAGCTGCCATGTATTTCGGCAGTTTATCCATAGATGGAACGACGATCATCTTCTTGACCTTGCCGGCTTTGAAGGCCTTCAGGAACTTGTTGTAATCCTTGAAGGCAACACAGCCATGCGACCCGTTTGACCGGCGCAGCAATGGCGTGTGCGCCAGCATGCCATCGCGGCCTTTCATCGCCGCATTGTCGTGCGGCGTCATCCTGATGGCCTCAACACCGTGAAAACGTCTTTCGCGCATCCTCAGGTCATAGATATTCGGTGGAGTCGGGCCAAGATTTCGCACATGCGCATATTTCGGATTGTCCTTGCGATGCCCGATGCCGGAATGCGCTTCCAGCTTGGTACCGTCAGGCATGTGGACGATTGCGGCGCTGATGTCATAAACCGCTACGCCGCGGCCACGACCGGGAAGACCGCCCTTGAGACCGCTGAACAGCTTTCCGATACCGCCGAAAGCACCGTTGTTTTCCGTTTCCGGAGTTCCCGGTGTCGCATAGGCAAGGACGGGAGCCGGTGTTTGCCGTTTCTGACTTTCACCACCGACCGCTGCTCGAGCCGTCTCTACAGGAGGTGCCGGTTTGCTGCCTGGAACCGGATGGGAGATCGCAGCAGTGACCTCCAGTTCGGCCTCGGCGGCATTCGATGGCTTTTCGGTTTCCGCAAGCGTCTCGCCCGTGCCGGAAACGTCATATTTGGCAATCGCGCGGGGCGACGGGAGCGAACCCGTTACCATCGTTTCTTCTTCGGCTACTGCCGTCGTACGTTCTGCTAAGCGGGATCCGGAGACGCCGGAGGCCGTTTCAATTTCATTCGGTTCCGTTCGCCTCTCGGTCAGCGAAAGTGCAAGGTTCAGCCGTGCGAGTTTTTCAGCAAGTTTCCGTTTGGCTGCGCTCTTCGCCTCTTTTTCTCTCGTGAATTGCGGGAGTGCGGAACCCAGTTGTTCGGTGGCTGATCGGATCAGTTGTTGTTCGTTTCCTGCCTTATCGTCGACACCTTGAGAGTTGCCGACACGGGCAGCCTCGTCATTGAAAATGACCGACGCAAAGAACTGGCTGTCGCCAGCCGCGTGTGCAGCGGAATCGCGGGAAGGTGTCCGCGGCGCATCAAGCAACGTGACTGAGGCTATGAGACCACCGAGAACGATCGCCATTCCGGCAATCAGCACATGGAAAACACGATGGACACGCTTCCGGTCCGTTCGATCAGTCTGATTTGTATTCTGCTGCATTCAGGCAAAACCACCCTGTTGCCCGCAGTTGCTCAAACTGCGTTCCGAAAGTCTTTCGATCTGGCGACAAACTGCCCCAATCGACCTTGCCCACCCGCACACGAGTATCCAGCGCTATGGTAACCGGCTGGTTTACAAACGTGGTTAATCAAACCTTACGCAGGGCTGACCCCTCGAAAACCACCATAAAGAGGCGAATTTCAGGCAGTTGTTCGAAATTCGAATTGTCCCAAAGTCAGCGGCTTTGAAGCGACCGGCTGGGGATTGCCTTTGGTCTTGTTCGTTCCCGGTGTTTGGCGGGAACGGCGCCAATCTGTCTTGTACGACCCGGTTCAATCCGACGGCTCTTGACCCCGGGCGCAAAACCCTGCACATGCGAGCCTTCTACAGCATTTGCAAAAGGCTCATCATGTACCTGATCATTTTTGACGTCGACGGCACCCTGGTCGACAGTCAGGATACAATTTTTCATGGGCTACAGGTCGGGTTCGAGGCTGTCGGATTGCCCATGCCGGATCGCAAGACCGCCCTTTCCATCGTCGGAAGGTCGCTGGAAGAAGCGTTCGCGGATCTTGTCGGAGGTGGGCATCTGGACAAGGTGCCGGCAATGGCCGACGCCTATCGTCAGTCCAAGATCTCCAGGCGTAAACAGGGGCTCGAGGTGGATCCGCTCTATCCAGGTGCGAAGGAGGCAATCGAGCGGCTCCATGCAAGAGACGACTTTTTGCTGGGTGTCGCGACCGGCAAGGCCATGCGCGGGGTCAGGCACATGCAGGAGACCCACGACCTGCATGGAAGGTTTGTAACCATCCAGACAGCCGATACGTCGCCCTCCAAACCGCACCCGGACATGATCGAACGCGCCTTGTCCGAAACCGGTGCGGATCGCTCCAGGACGGTCATGATAGGCGACACTGGCTTCGATATCGCGATGGCCAGGACTGCAGGTGTCCATGCGGTTGGCGTGACCTGGGGGTATCATGATCATTCAAGGCTCGCCGAAGAGGGAGCGGACAAGATTATTCACGCCTTCGATCAACTGGATCAGGCGTTGAATGAGATATTGAAATATGACTAGGAAACAGCCTGATGCGTGATTTTCTTGATAAGTTACATGAAGACTTGGCCAAGGATCCGGAACAACGCGCTAGAGAACTTTCAAAGCGCGAACTGCCGAAACGTTTCTATGAAGTGGCATCCTGCGCACAAACGGAGGATGGCTATTCGATACAGTTGGACGGCCGAACCGTGAAAACGCCCGGAAAGGCGACGCTGCTTTTGCCCAATCAGGTTATCGCCGAGGCGGTCGCGGCGGAATGGGCTGTCCAGCAAAAGGAAATAAATCCCGCAACGATGCCGCTGACCAGGATGGCCAATTCCGCTCAGGACGCGGTTTCCGAGCGTTTCGAAGAGGTTGCGGATGACATCGTCGGTTTTGCCGGAAACGATGCGTTGTGCTACCGGGCTGACGACCCTCAAAGTCTCGTGGACACCCAGAGACATCTTTGGGATCCGGTGGTTGACTGGGCCGGTGGACTACTGGGTGGGCGATTTGTGCTGATTGAAGGCATTATTCACGCAGCACAGCCGGATCACCTGCTGAGCTCTTTCAAGACCAGGATATCTGATGAAACGCCGCTTCGGCTTGCCGCGCTCCACACGGCGACCAGTCTGACGGGGTCCGCGCTGCTGGCTCTCGCCGTGAAGGAAAACCATCTTGGCGCTGACGACGCATGGACTGCAGCGCATGTCGAGGAAGACTTCAACATCGATCGATGGGGTGAAGATGCGGAGGCTGCGCAGATCCGAGCCTACAAACGCACCGAATTCGATGCCGCGGTCCTGATCCTGCAAAAGGCCTGAGGCCGTCAGCACGGTTTCAGGACATGTAGAACGTCGTCGCCATCAGGAAAAAGATCAGGACGCCGAGAACGTCATTGGACGAAGTGATGAAAACGCCGATCGCCATCGCGGGATCGATGCCGATCTTGTCAAGAATGATGGGAACGGTCGCGCCGACCATCGCTGCGAGCGTTGTGACGCACAGGAGCGAAAGTGACGTCGCTATTGCGAGGCGACCAGGAGCCTCCAATGGCACGATCATGGAGGCGATCAGCACAAGAGCTGCGAGTATCACACCGGCAACCGCGCCGTTGAACAAGGCCGCGAAAAATTCCTTCACAAGACGAAACAAAATGTCGCCTGACCAAAGTGCGCCGGTGGCGATGCCCTGCACGGCGACAGCGGAAGCCTGAAGTCCGGCATTTCCGGCCATCGACATGGTGACGGGAATGAATGCCGCAAGGATGGCGGCTTCGGCAAGCTGATCTTCATAAGAACCGACCACGGTTGCCGCGACACTTGCACCAACGAGACCCGCCAGCAGCCAGGGGAGGCGGCCGCGCACAATTCTGAAGACCGTGTCATCCGAACGCGCTTCGCCTGAGACACCGCTCATCAGCAGCATATCTTCATTGGCCTCGTCCGCCGCAATCCTGGTCAGTTGCTTTGGGGTAATCCTGCCGATCAGGTGACCTTCGCCACTCACGACCGGAACTGTGCGCATGTCCCGTTTGCGGGCAAGGCGCAGCACTTCCTCCTGATCCGTGTCGGTTGAAACGGCAATCACGTCCCTGTTCATCAGTTTGCCGAGCGTCTGCTCGTCCGGTGCAAGCAGCAGCTTGCCGACTTCGACGGTGCCGGTCAGCTTGCCATCAAAGTCGGTTACGTAAACCGTGAAAACCTTGCGGATCCGATCGGCTTCCTCGCGCATCTGTTCAACGGCTTCCCCGGCCGTACAATCTTCTCGCAAGGCAACGAACTTGCGCGCCATGACCCGGCCGGCAGTATCGTCGGCATAGGAAGCCCTGGTCGCGATTTCCTCGACATCCGGCAGGCGGGCGATGAGTTCGTCGGCTACATCATCAGGAAACTCGTTGAGGATTTCAGTGGCATCTTCCGGATCCAGACCGGCTAGAATGTCGCGAAACTGGTCAAGCGTGGTGGCTTCCATGAGAATCGAGCGGAATTCGGGGCGCAGTTCCGCGACGACCTTGATCGACGGATTTGCGGGCAGCCACTGGAACAGTTTGCGGGCGTGCTTCAATCTCAACCGCGTCAGCAACTGCATGACATCGATCGGATCCCATTTCTTGAGCAGTTCGACGATCTGGGTTCTCTTGCCCGCCTTGATCATTTCCCTGACGGCTTTGAGCGTATCGTCGTTTGTTTCCAGAGGTTCCTGCGACGTTTCCCTTGTCCAGGCGACGGGTTCAAGTTCGCTCGCAGTGCTGCTCATGAAGGCCTCCGGATTGATCGGTCCGCTTCTAATGCTGCTTTGTGACGGCTTGCTGACATGTGTTTCGAAGGTTCAGACGTCGAATTCGTCCAGTTCTCCAAAAGCGTCGCGCAGTTTTTCAGACCAGCCATGCGAAAGTTTCTGAAAATACGGGTCGTCCTGTTCGATACGGACCTGGCGTTCTGTTGAGAAGGTGTCCTTGTTGTAGAGCAACATGTCGATCGGCGTGCCGACGGAAAGATTTGATCTCAATGTCGAATCAAAAGACAGCAGAACGAGCTTGGCGGCTTCGCCAAGGCGCATGTCAGACCGGGTTACCCTGTCGAGGATGGGCTTGCCGTATTTATGTTCACCGATCTGCAGAAACGGCGTGTCCTCGGCCACTTCGATAAAGTTGCCCGCCGCATAGATCTGGAACATGCGCGGTTCTTCGCCCTCGATCTGTCCACCGAGAATGAACGTCACGAAAAAACTCTCGGCACTTGTCGCCAGAGCTTCACCGTCAATTTCCTTGACCTCGCGCACCGCACTGCCGACAAGCCTGGCTACCTGGAACATGGTCTTGGCCGTCAAAAGCGTGGCACGGTCATTGTCAGCTGATGTGATGTGTTCGCTGAGAAGTGAAACGACAGCCTGCGTTATCGCCAGATTACCGGCCGAAAGAAGCGTAATCACGCGCTCGCCGGGCTCTTCCCAGACATGAAGTTTCTTGTAGGTAGCAATATTGTCGACGCCGGCATTGGTGCGGGTATCCGCTGCGAACACCAGACCTCGATCCAGTTTCAATCCGACACAATACGTCATCCCAGAGCCCCTCAGACTGTTCCAATGACCTGCAACACCAATCGAAAGAAGACATTAGATAGGTCTTTGTTTGTTTCGGCTGGTCTTAGCACAGTGGACCGGGATTAGCGTGTCGGAAAACGACATTCATTGCTGTTGTTGAAAAGCTGCCTGGGAAACGTCGACTTCAACCTGAAGATTTTCCTCCAGGCCTCCGAACCGGATGCCCCGGATGGGAGCAGCGGAACGGGAATCAAGACCGGTCGTCAGCCGAACGTACCGATCCGTCGGACAGATGGCGTTCGATACATCAAATGCAGTCCAGCCCAGCCCTTCAATCAGGACTTCCGCCCATGCATGGTGTGCTTCGGAGGCCTGTTCGTCTTCCAGAAGAAGATAACCGGATACATAACGGGCCGGAACGCCAATTGACCTGGTTGCAGCGATAAAAATGTGGGCGTGGTCCTGACAAACGCCTTCACCGGCCGCCAGTACCGATGCCGCAGGCGCGTGCGTTTCCGTAACGCCGATCTTGTAGTCCACTTTCTCCCGGATCGCGTGCATGAGCGCGTGAAACCCCGAAATCCGGTCGTGGGTTTCTGCATGGGTGGCAAGTCTTCGGATGGCCTGGTTGGATTGGGTGAGGGGGGTCACCCTGGTGTAGAGGCGCGGTGGGACCACGGCATCGGGTTCGTGACCGAGCACACCGTCAGTATTCACCGTATCTACAATACCTGTCGCCGTAATTTCCACGTCTTCGACGGGTTCGCTGCGTGACACCATATGTACACGATTGCCGAAAGCGTCCTTGTAGGTGGTTGCCCTTGCAATGCCGGGTGCGTCGATTTCCCATTCGACAACCTTTTGCGAAGGCCCGTCTTCCGGAGTCAGGCGCAGCTGCTGCATGGCGTTGGCGAGCGGGACGTCATAGCGGTAGCGGGTCGTGTGTCGGACTTTCAGTTGCATGCGGCACCGGAAAACAGGGTTTGTTGGTCAGGCAAAATTGTAGTCTTTCGAAAGCTGCAGCGCGAATTGGTTGTTCTTGCCGATGAAGTCGGTCAGAAAATCGTGCAGGCCATCATGGTAGATTTCGCGCATCTGTTTCTCGGATAAACCGCTGGCGATTTCCTTGGCGAGATCCAGGCTCGGCTCCCGGGAACTATAGAACTGCGCAAGTTCTTCGGCTGTATCGGCTATCCAGTTGTAGCAATGGGCCAAGGACCGCGGCATTTCCTTTCTCAAGATCAGGAACTCGGCAATGTTAAACGCCTTGAGCCTGGCATTTGGATAGGCGAACCGGTAGCTTCTGCGGCCGGAAAGAGCCCTGAGGATGGCTGACCATTGGTATCGTTCCATGGAGCCGTCATCAACAATGTCGCTGTCAGGCAGAAGCGCCCAATACTGGGTGTTCAGGATCCGGGCGGTGTTGTCGGTCCGTTCGACGAAATTGCCCATCTGCGAGAAAAAATAACCATCATCGCGCAAAATTGTGTTCAGGAGAGCACCACGGAACAAGTGCGCACGCTGATTGACCCAGGCAAGGAAGTCCGGCAACCGTTCCTGCGTGATCGTCTGCGGATTGACCTCGATGAATTCTATCCACGTGGTGTTGATAGCTTCCCAGAGTTCAGCCGTGATGCCGGTGCGAACAGCTCGTGCATTGTTGCGGGCCAGTTCGAGACTGTTGCGTACACTTACCGGGTTCTCTTTTGAGAACATGAGGAAAACGGTCACATTCCGGATATTCAGTTCGTCGTATTTTTCACTGAAATCAGCGTCGCAGCCGGAGCAGGTGAGCGCGAAGGTCCAGTGCGTTCCGTGTTCCTGGCCCCTGTGGGACATCATTGCCCCGCGATAGGCGACTTCCAGCAACCGGGCAACGTTCTGGGCGCGCTCATGGTAGCGGGACATCCAAAACAGCGAAGAAGCGGTTCTTCCGAGCATAAACAGTCAGTCCTCGAGTACCCAGGTGTCCTTGGTGCCGCCGCCCTGGCTTGAGTTGACGACAAGTGAGCCCTTCTTGAGGGCTACGCGGGTCAGTCCACCAGGGGTGATGCGAACCTGGTCGCCAATCAGAACGAAGGGCCTTAGATCCACATGGCGCGGCGCGACACCCGATGCCACATGTGTCGGACAGGCGGAAAGTGCCAGGGTGGGCTGCGCGATGTAGTTTGAAGGCGTGGCCTCCAGAACTTTCCGGAACTCCGCAATCTCGCGTTTGGACGCCGTTGGGCCTATCAACATGCCATAGCCGCCCGAGCCGTGAACTTCCTTGACGACAATCTTCTCCAGATTGTCGAGAACGTAAGCCAGATCATCCGCTCTTGAGCAATTCCAGGTCGGGACATTCTTCAGTATCGGTTTCTGTCCCGTGTAGAACTCGATGATATCAGGAACGTAGGCGTAGATTGCCTTGTCGTCAGCAATGCCGGTTCCGGGCGCGTTGCAGATCGTGACATTGCCGGCCCGATAGGCATCGAACAGTCCGGGAACGCCCAGCATGCTTTCCGGATTGAAGGTGAGGGGGTCAAGGAAGGCGTCGTCGATGCGCCGGTAGATGACATCCACCTGTTCCGGTTCGCGGGTCGTGCGCATGAAGACCTTGCCGGCATCGACGAACAGATCGCGTCCCTCGACCAGTTCCACACCCATGGAGTCTGCAAGAAAGGCGTGTTCGAAATATGCGGAATTGTAGATGCCGGGGGTCAATAACACGATCGTTTGCGCCGACTTCGACGGGTCGGGCGCGACACTCTCCAATGTCCTTCGCAACAATTCGGGATATTGCTCGACCGGTGCAACGCGGTGCGTCTGAAAGAGTTCGGGAAACAGACGCATCATGGTTTCCCGGTTTTCCATCATGTAGGAAACGCCGGATGGCGTGCGGGTGTTGTCTTCCAGAACGTAGAATTCGTTTTCGGAAACACGTACGAGATCGGTTCCGATTATGTGCGCATAGACCTTGCGTGCCGGGGTGAACCCGGCCATTTCAGGCAGAAATGCTTCGTTCTGCAGGATGAGGTCTGCCGGTATTCGACCCGCCCTGAGGATCTCCTGACGATGATAGATGTCGTGCATGAAAGCGTTCAGGGCGCGAACGCGCTGATCGATGCCGGCCGAAAGCCTGCGCCATTCCGAAGCAGAGATGATGCGGGGTATGGGGTCGAACGGTATCAAACGTTCGGTTGCTTCCTGCGCGCCGTAGACTGCGAAGGTAATTCCGAGTCGGCGGAATACCATTTCCGCATCCCGGCTTTTTTTGGTCAGAAAATTTGCCGGTTTATCTTCGAGCCACGTGGCCAGCCTTGAATAGGGCGAGCGTGCGCCACCGGCATCGTCGAGCATTTCATTGAAGAAAGTCCGATCGTCCGCCATTGCCTCCCCTTAGCCTTGTTTGCTTGTTTCGCAATCATGGCAAAATTCCGAGAGGTGTCAAAGAACATTCTCGCGGCGCAGTTGCCCAGTGTTTAGGCAGTCATGTCACTCAGAAGACATCTAGTCTCTGTAACTGGCTGTGCCTTCGACCTTTGTGAATTGTCCCTTGCTGTCCACATGGACCTTCATCGTGTCGTCGGCACTCCAATAGGCGTAGTTGGTGAACTTGAAGATTTTCGGATAAATAGTCAGCTTGCCGCTTTTGGCGACTTCTTTCGTCTGCGTAACCGACAACATTCCGGTTTCGCTGCGCCCCGCAGGCTGGAGCTGGCTCAAGTTGATGCCGGGATGGCTGCCTTTGTTGCGGGACTGATACAAAACACCGCCGTATACCACACAATCAATATGCAGCTTGCTGCGGCCGATACTTGGACCACCTCGCGTCGGCGCCCATCTGATGTCCGGATCGATGGAAAGCCACTCCGACACGCCGAAACCGAGGTGAATGGTTGTTCCGTCCTTGACCGGAATGTCCTTCATTTGCATGTAGACCGCACCGCCCTTGTTCTCGACCGAATACTTAGGAGAAATGTAATTCCAGCCGATTTCGTTATCGAGCAGATGCAGCTTCTGCCATTCATAAAAGATACCGGCGCCGGCGGAAACGGAAAGAGGGGTGGGGAGCAGATTGAATTGCGGTCCGGATTTAACGACACCAAGATCGTTTGTAATGTATTGAGCCAATCGCTTGCCGGATTCCTGAACGGCCCACTCGCCGGTCTTTTTGCCCGCATGCTTCATGACTTCCTTGAAAAGCTTGGCCCCGGACTTGATGCTGGCGTCCAGATCTCCAACCAATGACGCTTCCCAATCGACACCCGACGACGTGATGCCGTCCATCTCCCTTTCGGTCTTGCACCCGGTCACCAGCAGCAAGGCAAAAGCTGATCCGATTTCAGCCATGATGCCGGCTCTTTTTCCGACCACGAGCACCTGTACGGGCAACCGCTTGCTTCCCATGTTCCAGAGATCGAATTGAAAGACACTGCCACCGGCGAGTACCGAACCGGAAAATCCACCACCCAAAAGGGCGATCCAGGTCGTGTCGGGGTTATATAAAGACATTTCAAATCCTCCTGCGGGGCTGCAAAGGCCGCCCTAATTCACATGATAAAACCTCGGAAATGGACAATTACGCTGCGTCAGACCCGATAATCCTATCCCCTTCGGCAAAACACAACGGTGTAACGAAAACCTTTGTAAATTTCCCTCAAATTCGCCGGGTTTTGAGGATTGACGTAGTCTCCCATAAGCCCATGTGCTGACTTTGCCTTGAACCTGGAACATGTTACGGCCTCTGTGAATGAGAATTGGGAGGACCGGATGAAAGAAGTTCTGGCCGAATTGGAACAGCGGCGTGACACGGCTCGACTTGGTGGTGGTCAACGCCGGATAGATTCGCAGCACTCCAAAGGCAAGCTGACGGCGCGTGAACGGATCGAGGTCCTGCTCGACGAAGGGTCCTTCGAAGAATTCGACATGTTCAAGCAGCATCGCTGTACCGAATTCGGTATGGAAGAGCAGCACATTCCAGGCGATGGCGTTGTGACAGGCTGGGGCACGGTCAATGGACGCACCGTTTATGTGTTTTCCAAGGATTTTACCGTTTTCGGTGGATCGCTGTCGGAAACGCATGCCGAAAAGATTACCAAGCTGCAGGACATGGCACTCCGCAACAGGGCGCCGATCATCGGCTTGTTCGATGCGGGCGGCGCACGCATTCAGGAAGGCGTCGCGGCGCTGGGCGGCTATGGTGAAGTGTTTCAGCGCAATGTGCTGGCGTCCGGAGTGATCCCTCAGATTTCCCTGATCATGGGGCCATGTGCCGGTGGCGATGTTTATTCGCCCGCCATGACCGATTTCATTTTCATGGTGCGTGACACGTCGTACATGTTCGTCACCGGGCCCGATGTCGTGAAAACCGTGACCAATGAAACCGTGACCGCTGAAGAACTCGGCGGAGCTTCTGTTCACACCGCGAAATCATCGATAGCCGACGGAGCTTTTGACAACGATGTCGAGGCACTCCTGGAGATGCGCCGGCTGATCGATTTCCTGCCGATGAACAATCAGGCAGACCTGCCGGAATTGACACATTTCGATGACCCGGATCGTATCGACACGAGCCTGGATACACTTATCCCTGACAATCCGAACAAGCCGTATGACATGCGCGAACTTGTCCTGAAGACTGTCGATGAAGGGGACTTCTTCGAGATCCAGAAGAATTTTGCCGGCAATATCATTACCGGGTTCGGGCGCATGGAAGGCCGGTCGGTCGGGATCATCGCAAACCAGCCGATGGTGCTTGCAGGTGTGCTGGATTCCGACGCCAGCCGGAAAGCCGCACGTTTCGTACGTTTTTGCGACTGCTTCAACATACCGATCGTGACTTTTGTCGACGTTCCCGGATTCCTCCCTGGAACCGCACAGGAATATGGCGGTCTGATCAAACACGGCGCCAAGTTGTTGTTTGCTTACGCCGAGGCGACGGTGCCGAAAATTACGGTGATCACCCGAAAGGCCTATGGCGGTGCCTACGACGTGATGAGCTCAAAGCATATTCGCGGCGATCTGAACTATGCCTGGCCAAGTGCGGAAATTGCGGTGATGGGAGCCAAGGGCGCGGTTGAAATTCTCTATCGTTCCGAATTGGGTGACACAGACAGGATTGCTCAACGGACGAAGGACTACGAAGACCGTTTCGCAAATCCGTTCGTGGCAGCAGAGCGCGGCTATATCGACGATGTCATCCGACCGCATTCAACGCGGAGGCGTGTTGCCAAAGGGCTGGCCTTGCTGCGGTCAAAACAAGACGAGATGCCGTGGAAAAAGCACGACAATATTCCGCTCTGAACACAGGGCCTTGATTTCCAGGACAGTGACTAACGAATGCGGGCCGGTTCAACCGGCCCGTTTCGCATCAGTTCCAGCGATTGAAGCCACCTCGCGGGAAAAGCGGTTCCTTGCATTCGTAGGCGACCGGACATTTGCGATGGTCGCGTGTCGGGCCATACTGAACGAAAAGTTCCTGATTGAAGTCGCAGTAACTTCTGTTCGAGACAAACATCGAATAGGTGTGTTGACCGGTTGTAAAAACCACGGCGCCATGCTGTCTCACCATATTCTGTGCCTGCTGGCAGGACATCTGGCGCAGGTCCGGCCTGGCTTCGGCGGCGGTTGCCATAAAGATGCTTCCGAGCATTAGAGCAACGGTCGCTAAACGGTACTTTTTCATCTCTGCCTCCGTTGGTGTCTGGCTTTGAAAAGACAAGCCCAACCCCATTTCGGGTTTCAGAATTCACCCTGTCATAAAACTAGTCACGCCCGGTCAGGGGCGCTCTACACTTTCAAGTGTGCTTTAGGCATTGTGTAAGTAGTGTGATCGGCACCACATAAAGTGCCATTTAACCGACTGATGCACCAGCGTAAGTTTCCTCACGAACCGCATGAATACCGATGTCGGCCACTACCTGGCTCGCGCCTGGCGAACGTGAGGTAAATCCTGAAGGTCGTCGGCATGTGCGTGGCAGCGGCACTGGTTCATTCCCGCAGTTATCCCGGCCATCCGTATTACCACCTCTCGCCCTTTGGATAAGTTGCGCTGGTTTGGTGTGCGGCCTACAAACGAGAAAATGATCCAGTTGGGTGGAAATACATGTTTTCGAAAATTCTTGTTGCCAACCGGGGCGAGATCGCTTGCCGGGTCATGAAAACGGCGCGACGCATGGGGATCAGCACTGTCGCGGTCTACTCGGACGCGGATCGGGATGCGCTTCATGTCGAATTGGCAGATGAGGCCGTCCATATTGGCCCGGCGACGGCAGCAGAGTCCTATCTGGTCGCCGAAAAAATCATCGAGGCCTGCAAGCAGACCGGTGCCGAGGCCGTGCATCCCGGTTACGGCTTCTTGTCGGAGCGGTCCAGCTTTCCCGGCGCTCTGGCGAAAGAAGGCATTGTCTGGATTGGCCCCAATACCAGGGCGATCGAGGCGATGGGCGACAAGATCGAGTCAAAGAAATTCGCCAACGACGCAAATGTGAGCACGGTTCCCGGGCATCTGGGTGTCATCGAGACACCCGAGCAGGCCGTCGAAATCGCAAAGGACATCGGTTTTCCGGTCATGATCAAGGCATCGGCCGGCGGTGGCGGCAAGGGCATGAGAATTGCCTGGAACGCCGACGAAGTAAGGGACGGTTACGCCAGATCGAAATCGGAAGCTGCGTCTTCTTTCGGCGACGACCGGGTCTTTATCGAGAAGTTCATTGAAAACCCGCGGCACATTGAAATCCAGGTTCTGGGCGACAAGCACGGCAACGCGATTTACCTTGGTGAACGTGAGTGTTCCATTCAGCGACGGAACCAGAAAGTGATAGAGGAAGCTCCATCACCGCTTCTGGACGAGGAAACCCGCCGAAAGATGGGCGAGCAGGCCGTGGCTCTTGCCAAGGCCGTCGACTATGACAGTGCCGGAACTGTCGAATTTGTTGCAGGACAGGACAAAAGCTTTTTCTTCCTGGAAATGAACACGCGCCTGCAGGTAGAGCATCCGGTTACCGAACTGATTACCGGTGTCGATCTCGTGGAGCAGATGATCCGTGTCGCGGCCGGTGAAAAACTCGCCCTGACCCAGGATGAGGTGCAATTGAACGGCTGGTCGGTTGAAAGCCGCATCTATGCGGAAGACCCTTACCGCAATTTCCTTCCCTCCATAGGGCGTCTTGTCCGGTACCAGCCGCCAGAAGAAGTCGCCGGCGAGGATGTGACGATCCGCAACGATACGGGTGTCGTCGAGGGGTCGGAAATTTCCATGTTCTACGATCCGATGATCGCCAAGCTGATCACGCATGCTCCGACCCGGGATGAAGCGATCGATGCGATGAGTTCCGCGCTTGATGCTTTCTATGTCGATGGCATCCAGCACAATGTCCCGTTCCTGACCGCCTTGATGAACCATCCACGCTGGCGCTCGGGCGACCTTGCAACGAGTTTCATCGCCGATGAATATCCGGACGGGTTCTTGCCGGCAGTTCCGGACGATCCCGCGTATTCGGTGCTTGCCGCGGTCGCCTTGTCTATGGGTGCTCTGGAACGAGAACGACTCGACCATCTTCCCGGACGGCTCCGGCCGCATTCAGGGGATGTTCGAGAGGATTGGGTCGTCAAACTGGACAAGACCTACGTGCCCATCCGGCTCGCCGCCGGGTTCCCGGGCACACCGGTCGAACTGGATGTTGCCATCGGTGACGGTCCGATCATGAATGTCGAATCTGACTGGTGTCCCGGTGATGTTCTCTGGTCCGGGAAAGTCGGCTCCAGGGATGTGACAGTGCAGGTGCGGCCGGTCACCGGCGGATACCGCCTCGATTGGCAGGGTTATTCCGTTGTCGCGAGTGTGATGACGCCGCGTGTTGCAGAGCTTGACGGGTTGATGCCGGAGAAATTGCCACCGGACACATCCAGAATGCTGCTCTGTCCGATGCCAGGGCTCGTTGTATCTATCGCGGTGGAAGAAGGCCAGGAAGTCAAGGCGGGCGAACAGCTGGCGGTCGTCGAGGCAATGAAGATGGAAAACGTGCTCCGTGCTGAGCGCGACTGCGTGATTTCTGCCATCAAGGCGACGCCGGGAGACAGTCTCGCCGTTGACGCCGTCATCATGGAATTTTCCTGACGCGAAAGATTGACAGGGTCTTCTTTCCGGTTCTAATGCAGCGGCCCGCGACACTTCCGTCCGGGCCGATTCCATCGGTAGTCATCGAGGATCCATGCCTTACAAGACCCTGTTGTTCGATCTTGATGGTACACTCACAGACCCATTTGACGGCATTACACGGTCCATCCAGTACGCACTGGAAAAAATGGACGCGCCTGTGCCCGAGGCAAAGGATCTTCACTGGTGTATTGGCCCTCCGCTCTGGGAGAGTTTCGAGGTTTTGCTGAACACGGGTGATCGCTCGGTGCAGGATAGAGCGGTTGCTTACTACCGGGAGCGGTATACGGTTTCGGGGCTTTACGAAAACACGCTTATCGACGGGATTACCAACCTGCTCGAGGCGTTGCGAAAGGCCGGTCTTGATCTCCACGTGTGTACCTCGAAGCCGCATGCCTATGCGGGAAAAATTGTCGAACATTTCGACATGATGCCGCATTTCGGCAAGGTCTACGGTTCCGAATTGAGCGGACACCGGTCCGCCAAGGCAGACCTTATCGCCCATATTCTGGAAGAAGAGGGACTATCTGCCGCGCAAACGTTGATGATCGGTGATCGAAAGCATGACCTTATCGGGGCAAATGCGAACGGCGTTGCCGGGATCGGTGTTCTCTGGGGCTATGGAAGTCGTGAGGAACTGGAAGGGGAAGGGCCGGTTCTGGTCGCGGCAAAGCCCTCCGAAATCCTGCAACACGTGCAGAAAGCGGCTTGATTCCAGACGTTCCATCCGGAAAGTGCAAGATTTTGTCTGTTGCCAATTCTCCTCATGTTGCAGGCAATTGGACATTGCAGACCATGTCCGGCTTTTCGCAACACTCTGATCATTGTAGAAGAGCAGGGACAAACAACTCGAATTTTTGAGCATTCAAGATGTAATCCGCTCGCGCACTTTGCCGAAAACAAGTCGATCCGAAAAATAGGGATTGACGATTTTGCAATACCGGACGTCAGACCAGACAAGTTGTTCAACGCCTGTTAATACGGCGATTGATGGTGCTTGACCTATTGGGTTGATTTCGTCCGGACAAGATCGAGCGATATCATGGAACTTGTGAAATACCCGCGCACGCGACACCTGGAGGGGTCGCGTCTTCAGCAGGGTGACATTGGAGAAGACAAGCCTGTCACAGAACTGGCGGGCATACCCGTTGTTGTCGAAGAAAAGGTCGACGGCGCCAACTGTGCTGTTTCCTTCAGTGCAAATGGAGAACTGCGCCTTCAAAGCCGCGGCCACTACCTGACCGGCGGCCATCGCGAACGCCATTTCAATCTCCTCAAAACATGGGCATCCATTCACGCGCCGGCATTGTGTGAAGTGCTTGGAACCCGGTTCATCATGTTTGGTGAGTGGCTCTATGCCAAACATACGAGCTTCTACGATCGGCTGCCGCACTACTTTCTCGAGTTTGATGTCTACGACCGGGAAGAAGCCCGTTTTCTCAGTACCACTGGTCGAAGAAACCTGCTCGGAGGGCTTCCCGTTATGCCGGTGCCAGTTGTTCATGACGGACAACTGACCTCTGCCGCGCAAGTGGAGGAACTGGTGAAGCCATCTCTCTACAAGTCGGCGGAATGGCAGGACGCCTTGAAGCGGGCGGCGGAAGCCTCGAAAAACCGGCTTGATATGGTCGACCAGCAAACGGAAGACAGCGATCTCGCGGAAGGTCTCTACATCAAGACGGAAGATGAGAGATTTGTTCTGGACAGGTTCAAATTTGTCAGGGGAGGGTTCATCCAAACTCTCTCGGATTCCGACAGTCACTGGCAGTCACGACCGATCCTGCCCAATCAGCTTGCCGACGGCATTGATATCTTTGCGGCGGTACTGGGCGTGAAAGGAGCGTATGATGAGCACGAGTAAGCCAGCTCGGACCTCCTATGGGACCCTCCTTGAGCTTGTACCGACCGCGCCGGTATGGAAGGTGGACTGGCGGCGGATTTGGCCGCTCTGGCAACATCTCGGTGCCCTGGACAGTTGTCCCCAGGACCCGCACTATCACGGCGAAGGCGATGTCGGAACCCATACACGTATGGTCGTGGAGGCCCTGGTGTCGCTGCAGCGCTGGCGGGACCTTTCAACCAGGCAACGCTCCTGCGTTTTCTGGGCTGCGGTTCTGCACGACATAGGCAAGCCGACGACCACGAGCTTTGAGGACAATGGTCGCATTTCGTCGCGGGGTCATTCGAGGGTCGGCGCGCGAATCGCAAGGCAACTGTTGTGGGAAGCCGGAGCCCCGTTCGATTGGCGGGAGCAAGTTTGCGGATTGATTGTCTGCCATCAGATTCCATTCTGGCTTATCGAACGGGAAGACTGCCAAAGGCAGGCCATCAAGACCTCCTGGAAATGCCAGGCTGATCTTGTTTGTCTTCATGCCGAAGCCGACGCAATGGGTCGCATTTGTGAAGATCAGCTGTCCATTCTGGACAACGTTGCCCTGGCCGAACAGCTGTTTGAGGAAAACGGCAGTCTCCGCGAACCGTTTGCCTTCGCCAATGACGAGAGCCGTGTTGCTTTTTTTGAAAAAAAGGATCGGGATCCTTTTTCGAAGCCTACGAAAGCTTCAAATGCAATGTCACCCTCATGTCGGGACTGCCAGGTGCGGGGAAAGACACCTGGATCCGGTCAAATCGACCTGACCTGCCTGTTGTCAGCCTCGATACGGTTCGAGAAAGCATGGGCGGGCGGGCGACCGGCAACCAGGGAAGGGTGATACAGGCCGCCTACGAACTGGCGCGCTCTTATCTGCGAAAGGGACAGGACTTCGTCTGGAATGCCACCAACATCTCCGAACAACTCAGGGGCAAACCCATCCGTTTGTTCAGAGAATACGGCGCTCGCGTCGAAATCGTCTACGTGGAGCCATCATTGGCCGTGCTTTACGATCAGAACCGGAACAGGTCTGCGGCCATACCGGATACCGCATTGACCAGTCTTGTGCAGAAACTTGAACCACCGGGCGAGACAGAAGCGCATGAGGTAATTCGGAATGTCGAGCACTTCGACATGATGTCGTAGATCGGGAAAGCCCGGAGCTTGAAGTTGAGTGGCCACAGGTTTGTCCGCGCAAACCTGTGGCTCATACTCCGGCGGCAAAGTGTTGTCTGCTGCAGACATGGCGATGATCGGCGATCGGACACATGACCATATCGACGCAAATGCGACGGTGTTGCCGGTATCGGTATTCTCTCGGGCGATGGAAGTCGAACAGAATTCGAAGCCGAGAATCCGGTTCTGATTGCCAAGAACCCTACCGATATTTCAGCGATACTGAAAAAATGGCCCGACTGGCATTGTCACTCATGCTTTTCCCGGATAGATAAGCCGTTAGAGAACAGTTCTCGGGGCGGGGTGAAAGTCCCCACCGGCGGTATCAGGGAAACCTGGAGCCCGCGAGCGCCTTGGCAGGGTCAGTGAATGCCGAGGGTCAGCAGATCCGGTGAGATGCCGGGGCCGACGGTCATAGTCCGGATGATAGAGAACTTGGTTACGGTCCGACTTTCGGATCCGCTGACACGTGTCTTTTGAGGCTGTTCTGGACGAGCAACTGGAACGAGATGGACAATGTCGGCACAATACAATTTTTCCTCTAGGAAACCGCTGTTCGCAGCATTGGCAATGGTCGGGGCGGGCGCGTCCTTCGCACTTGTCAACGGTGCCCTTCAGGCATCGACGATGCAACTCGGGGTGTCATCGACTTCCGCAGCTTTCTGGCAATATGCAATCGGCCTGGCCGTGGCGTTGCCCTGGGTTTTGCGTCGCGGTGTTTCCGCCTTGAAAACACAACAAATCGGCTGGCATCTGTTCCGCGGTTTTCTCGCGGTGATCGGAATCCAGTTGTGGGTCGCCGGCCTTGCACGCGTTGAGATCTGGCAGGCCATTGCACTCGTCATGACATCCCCTTTCTTCGTCATCATTGGCGCGAAACTGTTCTTTCAAGAGCGCGTTGGACCGGTTCGCTGGCTTGCAACAATCGCCGGCTTCGGTGGAGGAATGGTAATTCTCGAACCGTGGACCGAAACATTCAACTGGGGCGCGTTGCTACCGCTCGGAGCCGCAGCGTTTTGGGCCGGAACATCTCTCGTGACAAAGAAACTTACGGCAAGTGAGAATGCGGATTCGATAACGGTCTATCTGCTTCTTCTTCTAACGCCGGTAAACGCGCTCCTGGCATTGGGCGAAGGGGGCCTTGTGCCACCGGGAGCAGCGCTGTGGCTGTTGGTCGGCGCCGGTATCCTGACGGTTCTGGCAAACTACCTTTTGACACTGGCCTACCAGAGTGCGGACGCAGCGTTTGTACAGCCTTTCGATCATCTGAAGTTGCCGTTGAATATCGCTGTCGGTTTCCTTGCGTTCGGTTTTGCTCCCACGGGTACCTTTTGGCCGGGAGCGCTTGTGATCGTCGGCGCGTCGCTGCTGGTCATGCTGGACGAAAAAAAGCGAACGACCTCCGAGTTTGCTGCACATGGCAAGCCTTGACCAGCTGCTATTGAACAAGTGGCATTTCCGACCCAGGCGAGCTTGATTTAAGATCTCCGCTTCCATTGGCAAAGGGGGTACAATGTCTGACTTGTTGACCATTCATGTGCTGATCGAAGGCCGGGTTCAAGGTGTCGGATATCGGGCCTGGTGTGCCGACGAGGCCATTGCCCGGGACCTGTCCGGCTGGGTGCGCAACTTGAAATCGGGAGCGGTGGAGGCGGTGTTTTCCGGTAACAAGGAGACAGTCTCGGACATGCTCGATGCCATGTGGCACGGCCCGAGATTTGCCAGGGTAAGGACTGTGAACGAACTCGACGTTGTTGAGCCGTCAAACGGCCCATTCGAGATCAGGGATACTGCGTAAGGGTCTGTGATTCCACCAAGTTGTGTATCAATTGGGAGATTTGGCATTGAATTGTCATTGAATTATCGCAATGATCTGATTTCTCGTGTGCAACAATCAGAACGGCGCTTTTGTTCTTTGCTGCCTAACTAGGGAGACTTCTCGTGAAGATTGCGATTCTCGGTGGGGACGGTTTCGTCGGATGGCCTACATCCCTGCATCTGTCCGACCAGGGCCACGAAGTTCATGTCATCGACAATCTGAGCCGCCGCTGGATCGATGCCGAGCTGGGTGTACAGTCACTCACTCCGATGGACTCCATCCAGGAGCGCACGCGCATCTGGAAGCAGGAGACCGGAAGGACAATCCATTTCCATCTGATCGACATTGCGGAAGATTATGAGGTCTTCAAGGGCTGGCTGGCCGACAATCGCCCGGACGCGATCATTCATTTTGCCGAGCAGCGTGCTGCGCCCTATTCGATGAAATCGGACCAGCACAAGAACTACACCGTCAACAACAACGTCAATGCGACGCATCATCTGCTGAATGCGATGGTCGAGCTTGAACTTGACGCGCATCTGGTTCACCTCGGAACCATGGGTGTTTACGGCTATTCGAGTGTCGGTGCTGCCATTCCGGAAGGTTATCTGGATGTGGAAGTTGAGACGCTTTCGGGCGAGAAGGCCGCTCAGGAGATCCTATATCCGGCCAATCCCGGGTCGATCTATCACATGACCAAGTGCCTCGATCAGCTTCTCTTCCAGTTCTATGCGAAAAATGACGGTCTCAGGATTACCGATCTGCACCAGGGAATCGTCTGGGGCACGCATACCGAACAGACACGGCGCCACAAACAGCTGATCAACCGGTTCGATTATGATGGCGA